ATGTCTCATCAAAAATTTACTAACAAAGAAAATGGCTTATTTAATATGTTATATTTAAAGGAAATTAAAAATATCAAATATGATGAATTAAAACAACAAAAGTAAATAATTTATAAGCAAATTTAAGATTTCAAAAGTATTAATTAAATACTGTTTTTTTTTTTTTACAGATAATTGCAAGTCTATAAAGCTTTAAAAAAAAATTGTATTTTTGGTTTATGGTTATAAACTATATTACAATATATGAAATATATATTTTTAATTTTTTATCATTTTACAATATAATTTTATTTATTATTAAATTCAATAAATTTCTAGGAATTCAGGTGTAATTAGGTGATCCATAAGAATGGCCCCCAAAATAAACTTAAAAAAATTGGCAGCAGTTTTAAAAAAATATAAATGTGATCCATGTTTTTGGAAAAATATTAATATTGGTGATGAAGTTATCTATGCTGCTGCCAAAGCATGTTTGAAAAATACATCATCAATTTCACGCAAAAGAATTTCTCTTGTAAGTTAAATATATGTTTTAACTAAGGAACTAGGTTTACATTATTTTTTTATAATAACTATGCAATTGTTTCTATTATTGTTTTATTAAGACTTATATCAATATATACAAAATATATTATTTTAAATTTATATATATGAGTATATAGAGAATAGAGGTTTAATCGTGTTTTTCTTAGTATGATTAACTAATGTAATTTATTCGAGAGCTCCGTTTATAATTTTTTTTATCAAATAACTATTTATAATTTGTTAGAAAAATAATTTATATGAAGTAAATTAATTTTGTTTTCAGATTTTAGTGGAAGGAAGATGCAATATTTTAAATGTTTATAATGGAATCCAGGAGCAAAAAACAAATTTCATGGATCAAGTAAGGTGTATTTTATTGAATCAAATTGTAAATGTTACAGATGTGAATTCAGACATTATTCTAAAAGTTTGTAAGAAATTAGGTTTTAATTTTAATAAAAAGTCCAAGATTCAGAAAACTTTGATCATAGAAAAAGTAAGGTTAAGTATATCTAGAATTATTAATGAATTTAAAACTACTGGATTGAAAAATAATATTGCAAATAATGCAACTGAAATAAAAGAATTAAATAAAAATGAATTGGTGGAAAAATGTGTGATTGAAAATTCTAATATTCAAGAGGTAATTATTTATAAATAATAAAATGATATTAATACTAATTTTTCTATATTTCAATGGTAACTTGATGTGACTTGTAAAACTTCCAATTAAAAAAATCATAACATTAAAAAAAAAATCTTTTGTAGTATTTATTTGATTTAAATATCCAAATAAATAAATTATGATATTTTTTGTAATATAACTTCCATTGCCAACTCATTGATATGAAAATTTTCATAAAAATATTTGTTTTATGCACAATTTTGTAGAGTGTGCTTGTTTCAAATAAGAATTATTAATATCTGCTTTACGAGGTCAAATTAAATTATGACTAATTTTTAGATTTTAATAAATAATTAAAATTAATTGAGGGGTAGACCTTTCAAAAAAATATTTTTTTTTAATCAGCTATCTTTGCAAACCCATTAACTCAAAATTAGTTTTAATAATTTTGTTATATTTTAGCATGACAATTTGCTTAATAATGATGATAATCTGGATGTGATGTCTGTGACAAATATGAGTCATGATGAATTTATTGATACTAATATGGAAGAAATAAACTGTTGTATTGAAAGTAACTTAAGTATTAAACTTTTGCAAAATAATGCCGTGATTGATGATTCATCTAAAAATGTTATGAATAATGAAGAGTATTATGTATTAAATACACCAGACTATGAATATGTTGATGAAAATTGTATTCGAGTTGTTGAGGAACCTGAAATTACCGTAATACCTTCATCTGAGAAAATACTAACCTAATCGCATACAACAATGAGTAATGCATTTATTACACCTCCTAAAAAAATATTTAACATGGACAGTTGTCCAACAAGCCAATTGTGGAATAACGAGAAATGCATTGCAGCATCAAATATCAATACTAAAGACTTTTTTGTCACACCTTCAAGAAAGAATATATTAAGCAAGGACAGATGTCAAAAAAGGTTATTTTGCGATGATGAGGCTATTAGCCGTCCGGAAATGATAAGTTTGCTGAGAAATAAAGGTGAACTAAGAGGACTAGATATAAGTCCAGTCAAAAGTCCTTTGAAAAGATTAAGGGAAAGAAATTTGAACATATGTCAAGAATTTGGTCTCCCCAAAGGTACAATAAATGTATCGCCCAAGTCTTTAAGAAGTAAATATGAAGCGTGCAATTTTAAAGAAGGAGTTTTTTTCATACCACCAGAAGAATGGAAACAAATTTATAAAAATGGTAAACTAGATATCAAAACCTATCCAATGGTATTTAGGAAGTACTTGGAATCTATTAACAATACTTGTATATTGTACGTTAAGAAAAAGTTCAATGCCAATAAGAAAGGTGAAATAAAGATTAATGTATATTGTAAGATGCCAGATTGTAAAGTAATGAGGCTTTTTGTGACGCCTAGTAATGGTGGTGTAGAAGTTGTTGTATGGAGTTCTAGTCGAAATTTCAGTCACTCTCCAAAGGATCGCATGACTTGTCAGATAAGAGGACACGAAAGGAAAATTATAGGTGATAAATTAAAAAATACAACTGCATTTAAATATCAAGATGAATGTATTTTGTCTGCATCGCCCACTAAAGTTTTACGAAGTGGAAACATGCAGTCTGTCAAAACATTAACGACACTACGTAAATTGAGTAGTGAACAACAATTAAAGACAGATTATGATAAACATGATTCATTTGATGGAGTCCTTATGGCGCAGGAAGAAAAAAATAAATGGTTAAATATGATTGTTAATCCTTATCCATTTAATGTGAAATGGACCTCTGATTATCATTTGTTGATTTTACAAAAATTGAGTAAAAGTGGAAAATTTAAAACGCTTCATATAGATGCTACAGGATCTTTGGTTAGGCCACCTAATGAAAAAAAAGAAACCATTTATTATTATGCTGCAATTGTGCAGATAGACAAAATTGAAAATATTTATCCAGTAACAGAAATGATAAGCAGTACACATGATAGGCTAACTATTGAAAGTTGGCTGACTTCATTCAAAGAAAAGTTTATAAATGAAGTTGGTCTTTCATGGCCCCCTTTCAAGAATGTTGTTACAGACTTCAGTTGGGCTTTCATGCATGGAATATCCAAAGCGTGGAATAACAAAAATAATATTTTTGAATACCTTGATTTGTGTCATCAAGTTTTAACAAAAAAAAATGTAAAATTTCCAGACAATGATGTTGTAGTAAGTACATGCAGCAACCATTACATAAAAAATGTTATAAAGCATGCAAAAACAATTTTTGATGATGAAAGCAAGGCATATTATGTATCAAAATGTGTTGGGCTCGTATTTGATATGGATAATTATGAAGAGATAAAAAATTGGTTCAGACTATTAAGCAGAATACTTCTTTCCAAAAATGTAACACCTTTATGTAATAGTGCTAGGGCAGAAATGAATTTTCTTTTTAAAGGCAATAAAGTATTAAAATTGGAAGAAATGGACCTAAAAGATCATGTAGTGAACCCTCTAAATGAAAAACCATATTATGCTGAGTGTAAGAAATCTGCTTTCTATTATGATTTCAAAGAAATATTAGATGCTGTTTACATAGAAATATCCAATACGGTTGATGACCAGGGAAAAAATGACATGTATTCTGAGACATATTTGTTACATTTTCTCATTGAGAATATACCCTACATTCCACTATGGAGTAGAGTGATAACAGCAAAAATTGGCTTGGAAAAACGTCAGAGCAACGCAACTGCAGAAAGTTGGTTTAATATCATTAAAAATCATGTTCTAGGTAACCAAAGAAAAATGAAATGTGGAAGGTTTATAGAAAAAACCAGTGCACGGGTAACTGCTATTTGGAGCCGTTGTGGATTGATAATTCCTAAAAATGTGCTTGCAATCAGACCTAAAAATAATGCTAATAATGATGATGAGTTGCACCTGAATGATAAAGAATTCTGGCTTAAAAAAGGTAAAAAACCTTCTAATCTTGTTAACTTGGGAACTATTTTAAGACCACAAAAAAGTATGAATACATTCAAAAATACTAAAAGTATAAGTGAAAGTGATAAAACAAATGAAGTGTTGAATCGAAAGTTTGTTTCTGAGGTAAGTGTGCAAAAAGATATTGAACCTTCAGAGGACATTGGTAATGCTCATTATAGTAATACGGAAATTTTAAATGTTGATTGTATAAACGAAAAACTTGATTTAGTTGAAAAATATAAAAATGATGACACTAATAAAGATTCTTCTGTTATATCCTGTGGTCATACCGTAGTATGGGAGTCACCTGGAGATGAATCACTAGTTGGGAAGTATAAGATGTACCGTACAAGTAATTTAATTAAAGATGGATTATATTATATGCATGGTTATCCAGGGTGTAAAAATTACATAGTTGCCAGAATGTCTTTTGGAAATGAGAAGGTTGAAATATCTTCTGAAGACTTCAAACATTTAGATACTAAGGGCGAAAATAATGAACTTTGGTTAGAAAATAAAGAAATTTGGTGTTTGTTACAGATTTGTCTAAAAAGAAGTGAACGAACTTGGGTCAAACAAAAACAACAGATGCTGGGATGTATGAGTCCAGATATATCGTACTATATGATCAATTTGGGAAAAAGAATTGAACCTCCGAATGAAAATGGTAAAATTGAAGGTATGGGTTGGATTGAATTTTCTAGAGTACTTATTCCTTTATTAGAAAATAATAGCCATTGGACACTGATGTTAGTAGATTTTACTAAAAAAAAAGTAAGTTATTTAAATTCTTCTAGATTAGGTCATGAAGACTTATCACATAAAATTAATATGAAAGTTAAAGTTTTAAATAGTTTGAAAAAAACGCTAATGAGTTGGAATAGAGTACAAGTAATTGGTAATATTACAGAGTGGGAGATAAATGATGTGACTATATCCTATCAAAATGATAGTTTTAATTGTGGCGTTTTTATGTTATATTTTGCAAATCAATTGATGACAAATAAAATAATTATGAACAAATTCGATCCAAATGATTACAGAAAGAAATTATAAAATTTGATTTTGAGTAATTCGGAGTGTATGAAAAACAGTTGTCTAATCTGTGGTGTTGATGAAGGTAGTTTTAACGAGAAAAGCAAAAAGATTGACAAAAGAAGTGGAGAAATGGTACAATGTGAGTCTTGTACTCGATGGTTACATATCAATTGTTTACCGAAAAAAGATCCATTGCCTGACAATGATATCAAGTGGATCTGTGGACTTTGTTCTGCAAATAGTATTTAATTATATTGTCACAGAATTTCTGATTGGGAAAGAAATCTGTGTGTGTTAGTTGTTAACTTATTAGTGCTACAATTTAATCTTATAATTATTTTTCGTTTTCATCTTCACTAAATTCCATCGACTCATTAAACATCTGATCTTTTATGATAGTATATACTATTCCAAGACTAGTGTTAGAAATGACTGTGTGGTGCTATTTAATGGTTGCTGTACATTTCTATTTTTTAAGTTTTGACTCTTTAGTGAAAATTTGACATAAAAAAAAGCAACTTAAAATTTAAAATGCTCATTCGGCGAATTTTATAAAATACACCCCCTTTCCATATAAACATTAGTTAGACGGGCCACTGGAAAGCACTAATTTGTTAATAATGAACATGATGTAGACTGCCCAATAGTGAGTCTACATTATATAGTGGAGTTTCTGATCAGAAAAGAAATCCACGCTAAAATCTTTAGGGAAAGACGTCCTTATTAGATACTCGTTATCTGATGGGGTAACTCTGCCAAAGCTGGTCCCAAGCCCAGCCGAGAAAAGAGAAGGGAACCATCAGATATATTTTCATATTGTATTTAAATAAATAGTTTTTACTTAAATTAATAATATTACATTTATAAGTTCAATAAATGATTAATATTTTATTATAGAATTATGAATTTTATCTAAATATTAAATAAATTATTAAGTTTAAAATTAACTTATACAATAAACAAACTAATTTTTTTGTATTGATTTAGTAAACATGTTTGTAAAATTTTCTATTAGAAAAACTTAATTTCGCAGGGTACAAGTGATGGGTTTATTGCCCCCTATAATGATTTCTACATCATATATTAATACATGCCAATGTGTATTTGTACATATCGGTTTATAGGATTTCAATATTTCTGAAATATTGATAGTTTCTTTGGGAGAGGGTTATTGCATTGTTTNAAGATGGTTATTGCATTGTTTGTATCCTTTATAAATACTTTTTCTAATAGGAAATTTTGATCAATGTCTTGACACGACTTAAGGAATTGATCCTAAGTGTATTTGAATGTATAAATACTTGTGAGTATTGATATTTCTTATATAAATGTTATATTTTGTTTAGAGTGGAAGTTGTGTTATATGGGATCCTTTCAATTGTATACAGTTTTATATAGTTTTATAATGTATTAAATTGTTGTATATGTTATAAATATTTTTTGCATATGCACTTATATATTTATGTTTACTTTTGAATATATATTTATATTATTTTTTTTATATATGACTGTGTTATTTTTACAAGGATTTTCGTTATACATTTTCAATTTTCGAAGTTAAGAAAAAATTAATTTAGGAGATTATTACCATAATAATTTCATTTAATAATTAGAATAATAAAAAAACAATTATTATCAAAAAGTATTATTATATATTATACATTCGTATAATACATGCCCACCTCAATAATAACTAAAACTAAAATTATACATTTTTGCTGTTCTTTTTTTTCATAGTATAATAATTATAATATATATACATTTTATAATTATAATGATGAAATTAATATTATTGGTACTTCTTTCCCTTGAACTCTAACAGTCAGGCAACCCAATGAACACTGTTATGGTTACCGTCTTATCAGTTTGTGGTTGGGCGCTGAGTCTCGGGAGCTAACTTCACAGACGTTATAATAAAGATTATACTTTTAATCGATTTTAAGCCTAAAATTACGGCGATCCCCTTAAGGACTTTTTCCAGGAGTATAACTATATTTAGGGGACGATGAGAGATTGGTAAAAGTGGTTGTTACCCTTTTTTTATATTAAAGATTATTTTGCTATCAGTTTTATGTAGGAAATATGTATTTAGAATTTTTATCATAATATTTTTCACATTAGTATTGTCAATAAATTTGTAGTATAACATTTAATCACTAATAATATTAGGATTCTCTGCTTCATGCATATCAAAAAAGCTATGGCTATAGATTAATACAAATAATATAATGATCATCATAAAAGACTTTCGCTCTTTTGAAGTATAATCTTAGAAAAATTCAAACAAATTAAATGACATTTTGTTCGTGAAAGGTAATGCTGCTGAATTATTTGTTGATTGATAAATAAATCTAACAAAGATAATGTTCTTTAATTAAATATAATATAATGAATGTTATTGATTGTTAAAATATTGTTTTTTTGTATGTGTTATTTTTTAATAGTTTTTAGATTTTGCAAGTTGCATGCAATAGTTTTATTTATATAGACTATAAGTGAGAGTAGTTAGAAATAAGACTTTTTTTTTTGACATTTTCAGTAATTTTTTAATCATTTTTAATTTTTTGTTCACATTAAAAGCTCTTGCTTGTACCAAAAAGGATGGAAAAACCTTCATGGTACAGCATAAAAGAATTGAACCCGTCTACATTTGATTTTGTATAACACTATTGTTAGTATAAAATCCGAAGAATATATTAACCAAAAATGTTTTAAAATTATTTTGTCAAAGTTTTTACCAGTGTTAGCTTAGCTTGAGTTGTTAGAGAGATAGGTAAGAACTTCTCATACATTCAGATCTGTGAGTCAATTGTGTGTACCTCATCCAGATTTATATTAATTTGATCTTTGCATTAGTGTTTCCACCGAATTATTGTTGCCATTATTCATAACACCATATATATATATATAGAACATCCTACTGGGCACTCCTAAGGTAAACCGAATCAAGACAATTTCGGTATGAGGTGCGAACAATGGACCAACAGGTCTGAGTGCATGGGCATTATATCCACCTCTATAACAACTAAAACTAAAACTAGGGCACTCTTATATATGAGGCGTATAGAACCAAAACAGCTTAACCCACAAAAGTGAAATTATTCAGGGCGGAAAATTAAAGTTTTGACTATTTTTAATTTATTATTATTCAATTCAATGCCAGAATCATAATGAAACTTCATTAGTATGTATAAAACCTGCCTTTTAAACCATCCATAAAGCACTAACCTATTTATAGGTGATTAGGGTTTAATGTGAGTTAGGCCACACTACATTTTGAAAAATTTTCATCGTATTAAATTTTGGGTGGGTTAGTCCAAAACTTGAAAATTTATAATTTACTTTAATCTAAATCTTATGAACTATACATTTAGTTATACTGTATTGAATTTGTTATATAAATATTTAACAACTGACTTAACAAATATACATTTTTTATAGAATAGATCACTTCATAAAATTAGTATTCTAAGCTTAATGTAAAATAATAATAATAATTTTATCATTATTATTATAATAATCCACATACCAAAATTGTAATTTACTTCTATAAATATTTTAAAATGATACATGATAAAAATAACTTAGTTATAATAATCATTTGTTTTCCAACAACATTCATTTCATAATAAAGAAATATTATAATAATTATTACACTTTATTCATCATAAAATGTATAAAATTAACATTTTATTATTAATGTAGCGATCATTAATATTAATAATAGTTATCACATTATGTCTTCTGTGCTTAGTGCAACAAACAAAACAAAAAAATAAATAATTTTAATATTATATTATAATAGTAATATTGTAATACTTAACTAAATCTTAGTTTACTCCTCTAAATATTTAAAATGAATTAAAAATGAAACATAATACAAATAACTTTTAGTGATGTTAAAAATCTGTATTACTCCTTTTAACATTGTATAATATTTTAAAGAAACATAATTATAACAGTTACCCATCATAAAATTTGATAAAATAAACAAAAACTTATCAGTATTCTCTGCTTAAATATATATTAAAAAAAAAATCTCATGTGTACCTACAACTTAAAATATTAATGTACTTCTAATATTTAAAAAATAATTTTAATGTTTCAAAGTTCTTATTCATTATTTTCACATTCATTTAAATCAGGATAATCTTCATTAATGTTTTTGTTAACTTTAAGACTATTGTAAAATTGATGGTAATTGGCAAATAAATCTAATAAATTTTTTTTTTTTGCTTCTGTGATTATATGGCCATTAGGATACAATAGATCTTACTTTCTTGTATAGTCTTCAATTTTCGAGTTTCTTTTACCAATATAAACACAGTTAAATGGGAAATTAGAATTATTAGAATATTTATAACTAAACTTAAAATGCTGGTCACTTTTGTATTGCAACCACTGCATTTTGAGCCATTCCACTTTCTGATGTGTTGTATCAATTTTTCTATTTGTAATTTGCCTCTCCGGAGACTTAGTTGAAAAAAAATCATTTTTTGTCATTGACAATTTGAAATGGATTTCTTTTCCTAGCAGATGTTATGACAGACTTCCAATTATCTGGTCCATGTATTTCAAGGTGAATTTTTTTTTTCTACCAAGCCAAAATCTTGGTCACATGGCAAAAATGAATGGCTACTTACCTAAAACTTGTGATCAATTTCATCAACTGTAAATGAGAGACTAGCAACTATGTAGTTACATAGAGTAGCCCAACATTTTGGCACAAAATAATATGTGGAAACTAAAATGGGTTAAGCCATTATCAGTAGGTTAGGCCAATTTAGCATTGAAAATAGGAATTTAAGTATCGATGCCAAAACAAATTAAGTGCTGCCATCTACAAAATAATTTTTTGTTAGGGTTGGGCCATATTGGTTTTGAAATATTATATTATTCTAAAGCGTAAAATATTTTTTTGTGGGTTTAGCTGTTTTAGCTCTATGCGCCTCATATATTCAAAAAGTTCTGTTTTTAGGATCTGGCAAAATTAAGTATGTCTTTGGGTCTTAAGTTTTTAATTTCTTATTTTTCAGAAGAAGATTTTCCTAAATGTTTAGAGATTATTATGACTAGGATATCACATTTATACATAATGTAAAATGAGTTTTTCTCTTCTGTTTCATAATTTGTGCACATTGGTAATTTTGTCATCCTCATTGTGTAAAGATATTTAAACAAGTGACCATGTCCTGTTAGAGTAATTATTAGATATTTAGTCACAACACAACTCTCAGTATTAAAAACTTTAATTTTAGTAATATATCATAAAAAGTTATATCATTCTAAAACTAAACTCAACAAAAAATTATTTAATAATATTGCTAGAAAAATTATTTTTTCTTTTTATTTATATGTTTCTATGATTTTAAAGTGGTGGTATGAGCTGTAAAATACAAAAAGTGCGTTTTTGTGTGTGTTCCATATGATACATTGTATGTTCAACTAAAATCATAATTATTACAATATTTGTGTTTCTGAATTCATTAGTATTCTTACTATTTTGTAACAAAAAAATAGTAGGAAAAACAATTTTTCAATAATAAGGGAAAAGTTGAAAAAATTACAATTTTTTAATTTCATGTGTTGTGTTAGTCTTTTTAATAATTATTCATCTTAATTATACTTTAAATATAAAAATGTTAATATAATTACTGTAAGCATCTTCTTAGCAAGTAAGATTTAGATAACCCTTTTTTTAGATATTTAATATATATATATATATATTAAATATATCTTATTATATAATAAAACATTGAAAAATTAGACAATGCTGGAAAATTTACTTAAAGAATGATTTTCATAATTTTTTTTTTAAATTAAAGAGCTCAATGACGTTATTCTAAGATTATTCGCGAAGATCAGAAAATATTTTTTAGCACTCTGTCCCCGTGTATATTTTTTAGTAGGATATTCTTTTGCTTAGCACATGTTAATTTGGTTTAAATTTGACGCAAGTATACAAATGTGTTAATAACACGGTATTTAAAGATACCTTAGGAGTAAATATTTTAGTTATATTATTCGATAATTTTGTTATTATTTCTTATAGCTAAAAAAAATTATTGTATAGGATGTATAAAAAAATAAGTATTGTATGATAGAAAAGTTCATTTATTATTTCCATTAATAACTTTTCTTATTTCCTTCTCCTTTTTTCCTTTAGGAACATTTTT